CTGTTGGGTCACATGAAAGCACTAAAATTCATATAAAGCGACAACATAGTTCACATGAGGCCCAAAAAGGAATTTACAAGTGTGCGAAAAACATCACCTGGTTCTTTTTGTAGGGAAAGTCAATAATCTGGTGGAAATTTAAGTCTAAGGAGAAAAGATGGAGTACTGTATGCAACATTGGAGGGTGAAATGTTATATTCTGATAGAGTAATGAAAATTAAGACCCATATTTTGAAGTACATTTAGATATAGTAGCTGGCATATACAAATGAAGTGTTTAGATTGGCTAGCATACGTTGAATAGTTCTCTTTGGTCACTTTAAAGCGTGATAAACCAAAGTGGAGCCACGAATTAAAAAAAAGAAGAGAAATTGTAGGTATCGAAGTGAAAAACTATTGGATATGTGATAAAACTTAGCATCAACATCACACCTGAAAGTATATATATAAAATAAAATGCAAACAAGTTGTATTTTGTAGATATAAACTTGAATCACAACCTCAGGACTCATGAATACCTAAAAGCCTTAATAGGGATATAATTTGAATGTGCAGATATTATGGATGCTGACCGAAGTGAAACTATTTCCATTTTGGTTCTACGCAGTGAACTTGAAATCCCTGTGCAACAAACCAAATCTGGTTCAAAACATCTCATTATATTAGCAGTTATTAATAAAAGGTACCAGATTTCTTTCACATATCCGATACCTAACTTTTTCGGGAGTAGACTGGAGACACAGTAGTCGTCTTTAAATTAACTATGGTCAGAAGTAGGAGGAATTCAAAGAAGTAAAATAGGTGAGAAAGAATTATTAAATTCATGCCTTTTGGTAGGGATACTCAATAGAATATTTGAAATGTGTGACTATGCATCCAGGGGGAAATAAAAGCACTGTAACTAAATAATGGGGAAAACAGAGATGTGTCAGGTAACTCTATGTGAACGTTGGAGGGGATTTGAAAACTGACCGCAAACGTTGTGTGGATTAAAGCTGAGTCGCAATAATAATGACAGAACGCTTGCAGACCAGTAAAGAATTTAGCGATTGCCCACAAATCAGAAGTTACAATGTGAAGCGGATATTACTCATAAATTTAATCAAAAAACAGAGCAGGTTACGGAACAACATAGGAATGCAACCAAAAATATTCAGTATCGATCGTCATA